CCCGCCGGGCGGCCCCGACGCCTCTGCGTGGCCTTCGAGAAGGAGGGCGTGGTGGGCCGCTTGGGTGGCCCGCAGCGGTTTGTCTCCATCGCGCGGTGAAGCTGCTTGGAGAGCTCGCCAAGGTTTCGGCTCAGGGTGGCATATAAAAGCGGAGAGGCGGCCGACGAGTTGCCATCCGCTTTGCAAGGTTGGTTCTCTACTTGAGATACATCGTGAGTTGTCTTGGTGTGACCTTGCTCGGATTGTGGGGTGGCATCCACGTTGTACACCTCTTCTGGTAACGCTTGCGGGGGACTGTCATAGACCAGCATCATAGGGTTGCCATTTTTCACTGATTTCACAGGATGCTGCACCCCACCCCCCAAAGAAACGATACTTGCGGAGGATTCTTGTCGAGGTGCATGGTGCGAATTCCGATCGTTTGTCGGTAGATGACTACTGGAATAGTACTTACTGGTATCCAGACCGAATTGTTTCCATTTTTCAAAATTCGTGACGTTCTCTGACTTGCATGGTTCCTCAGTAATATATTTTCCGTTCTCTTTATTGGCGTTGCTTGAGACAGTGGTTTCTGTTAGAAGCGAGCAAGGTTTGTCCTGGAAGGATATCTGTGTTCTGTTTCCAACAGCATGAGAGACCTGCGAAGAGAATAGGGGCGCTGATGACGAAGGACCCGCCAAGGGAGCCGATGGAGTAGATAGATGAGTCAATTGAACAGCTCGAAATCGAGTGTACGAAGATGGATTCATAGGCTTTTATACATAAATCACAAGCTTATGTATTTCAGTATGCATGTATCTATCCCTACTTACTCTTTGTATTAGATACAGATAATAAAATGAGCGAGTGGACTCTATATATTATGCCAGCTAACTAAAAAAAAACACCTGAAACAAACCTGAAGGAGTGAGAAACAATGCGAAACAAGCTATTACTATCGCTTCGACAAACGAAATCGCTAACTTTCGTGTCGATACCTTCTTTTTTTTTAATCTATTAAAAGAAAAATGCCACCCGCGTACAGAAACAGTCCGTAGTATTACGGATAAAACACAAACTGAAGTGAAATGTTATTCACTGAGAATATTTTCCCCCTTTTTGGAAGTCAGCTGATGGGTTGTAGTTAAATCACTGTTAGAAAAGAAAACCATCCAACCGCATACTAGCTAAGCTTGTTATCGTTTAAGACAGCTCACAAAGAATGATTCAACATCCATGTATATATCTATATATAAGAGGAGAGGGTTTATTAGCTAAGAAGAAGAACCTCATCACCACATTCCAGAAGAGTTGCATATGGAACAAATAACAAATTCGACGCCTCTGGATCAAGCTCCAGCGTTGTATCGAAAGCATGCTGCCATTCGATATCCTTCCCGCTGAATTTAAGATCCTTTGGAGAAGAGTTTGCTGCCTCGCTAGGCGTGCCTGGTTCACTGGTTTGAGCGCCCTGAGGTGGATTTGCACCAACAAAAACTGATAGCGTCGCTACAGAGGTATTATGCGGCTGGGTATCCGAACGAAGGCCGACTGTACTCCACTGGAGTCGAATCAATCCTTGATATCCAAGAGGTGTATTCTCTACCGTGCGTCCATTCCTTCCGATGTCCTTCTCCACTGCTCCACGCTTCTGATCAGAAGACGACAGAATAAACGAAAGGGGTAAAGGGGCCTGATACAAGGAATCTTCTTTCGAAAAGAAAGGTTGAAGACGGTGATCGGAAACCTGCTCACCGTACCGCTCCCAATGATCACTCCAAAGAAACATCCCATTGGTTCCGAACTCAGTTGATATGGCGTAGGGTTCTTCGTACACAAGTGGTGTTTCCAGAATGCGCTTGTCATACATAGCCTTAGCCTCCATGTTGCATGGCCATATCATCGCGTTTTCTTCATCGTCATTTTGTTCTGTAGGCAAATGAAGGCGTTCCTCCCCGTCTGACGGCATCTCTTTACCATTACCATAGGCGTAGTAGTGCGGTGCTACACTTATCAAAATGTGAGGATCTGCGCACGTGGAGCGGACGTAAAGGTCTATTTTCCACTTACGATAAAATCGTGGACTCCGAAGCATCCAGGACGGAGTGCCCCTGAAAGGAAGCTCATCGCCACATATCACTATTCTATCATCTACCTTTTCTGTCTGTTTGGAATTGCTATGATCCGTCGGGACGACCCCTGATGAAGCATGAGCCGCCTTTTGACTTAGCATGATCCCACAGCGCGCGCTGAAGGCATGATGAGTACGCCAGGTTGTAGCGAACCCAGCTGCACTCAAAGATAACAATCTACCACCTGCATCAAACAAGGTTTTACTGGATACGCACTTGGCAATCCATTCCCCTGTTAGCTCGTCGGATTTGTTATCACCAGAACACTGGATGGAATCGTCCCCTCTCAAACTACCATGTCGTTCAAAAACTGAAAATCTTTCTTGGTCTGGGTTCTCCTTGGCTACATAGCCTCCTGTGGTTGATACAGGTCCGGAGGATATCAACCCTTCAGAGATGCAGTCAAATTTCCAAGACAAACCCATTTAATTACTAATTTTTATTGCTGCACTAATAACCTTGCTTGAAGACCGTACAGATGTGGAGGAGAAATAGTATGTATAGGCTCACATGATGTGGCGTAGGGCAAAAAGTGACAGCCGAAATTTCACCACATTTTTGGGGAGCTTGTTTGGTCTTCAAGGGAAGTGTACCAGGATCGGATATGCATATCGGCCCAATTTAGTAAAGAAAAACTCAGATGCTCACAAGAGAGCAGCATTCCGGGGCCCACTAGAATCCCTTAAGAAATTTTAACACCCCATCAAATATCGAACGAAACGGAATATCGACCAAAAATGATAAATAAAAATACAAAACTGAAAGAATACTCCTTTGCTTTAGATTTTGGGTCCATTAGCGAGGAAAGTAGACAAATCAAATGATCACTGGACAAAAAACCTACAACATGCGGATAGTTTATTTAAATTTGCTTCTTTTACGGACAGAAAATTGAATTTCACACAAAAAAGTGGAAATACGGATGGGATTTCCCTCGTGAAAACTTTTCCTCGCAGGAGGTGATAGGGTGAGTGAGACGGAAAAACGAACCCGTGACATCTCAACACAATGATGAGATCCCTATTATTACACCAGCAGGTGTTGAGGAACACGTTCAGTTCTTCATCATCGCATATACCTTCTTTAAGAGTATTCCCAGAGGATAGAAGTCTCAAAATCGCTCTTTGAGAACTTTGAATGTGTACTTTCCTCATACATCATAAGAAGCTAAAGCATAGACATATAAAAAAGCGAGCAATGATAATTGAGGTGGAATGCAACAAACAAGTTAGGGGGGTGAAAACCTCCCGAAGTTGGGTATGCTAATCAATTTTATCATTACTGATTACTTTTTCATATAGCGACTAGCTATCTCACCAAAATGACAACTATTTCAAAAACGATGGCGAGTTGCATGCAGCAACTTGCTTATACCCCCCTTTTCCAAGGGGATTGAACAGTTTGATGCTTGAGGTATCCGATCCTAGGCGAGATCAAATATCAGCCTCCAAGACGTCTTAATTGACCCGCGCGACAACACATACGCAGAGTCGTGCGATACACTCTATAACAAGGTTTATTACTGAACGCCATTCTGTTTGAAAGAGTGCGGTTGTAGTGAATCATGCTAAATAGCGGATAGAATTGCTTGCTCCATGAAGCAAAATTTGACTCCTGATGTTTCCAATGGCTCAAGCAAGAGTCTTTGCTGGGCATATGTTTATGCTTTGTAAGGTAGACACGATTTTATTGAAAGTGTGGGATAGTATTTTTTATTTAATGTAAAGTATTAAGTCTCTTCGTGATATAGCCATCACAACGGGTGCCACAAATCATGATCGAACCTAGCGACCTCAGACCACATTTTTTTTTTGCAAATTATTTGAATGAATATTATTTCTATTATTACTCGGATGAATAAACGAATACCATTATTTCAATTTTAATCTCATAGTATTGTTTGAGATTCTTTAATCATCTATGAATACGTAGCACCTCCCTTAGGAAGGAAATCATTCCCCTAATATTTTGACGCAATACTCCTTTGGCATGGCCTCACTATTAACACTGCAACATCAAATACGAACACAAAGAATGTGAAACAAAAATAAGCGAAGGAAATTGATTTATTTTTAAGCAAAACTGTAAATGAATGTGAAAAAGTTAAAATAAAATGATAATATGTAAAAGATGGAAATCTAATGTGTATTTAGAACAATGTCAGGCCGACCTACTAGATGATAGTAAAAATAAATAAATTCGAAACGCATATAATCACTTTTATTATTCTAGCTCAACCGCAATTATGCCATAGTTTTGTGTTGATAGCCAATTTCCCCTCCCTTTCCGTATTCGAAACTGACAGTTGCTATTTTCCGTCTCCGTTTGGGGTAGGGGTCGTCTCAGAATTCGAATTAGACGAACTCCTCGCATCGCCTTCCGTAGAGCGCATACGATGCATGCCGGGTGTACCTTCAGGTACATGCGCTTCCGATTCTGTACGCTGCTGTTCTCGCTGATTGCTAAGTTTGGAATCTGTCTTCTGATTCGCCCTATCCTCCTGATTTTCAGGCTCGCCTGCGTCGCCTCCTTCTTTGTTGGATTGACTAGGACTACCCTCAGGATCAAAAGGATTCCTAGAGGACATACCTTCATGTCTAAGATGATTGAAGAATGGATCGGTATCAACATTAACCTCACCAAGATTAGATCTTATTTTTCCTCTTAAATTGTGCGAATAGGGAGCACCACCCTCCGCATCAGGGCCTTGCGATGGAAATTTCATCGGCGTATCCTTTTCAAAGAAAGAACGGTTACGCCATTCTATGTTCATGCGATTTGCTACAGGGCATGCCTTTTGAAGTTTCTCTACGAACATCGCGAACTCCTCCTCGGAGGCTGCTGGGGCATCGATGTAGCCTACTACGACTTTTTCTCCTTCAATAGAGTTGGGTGTTTGCTGCTCCTCAAGCACAAACTGCACATCTTGGACATTTATATCATTCTCAATCGCTATTTTGGCAGCATGTGAGACGGCGCAGTGCTGTAAAAGTGCCATCACACCCGCTTCCATCGACATTGTACTTTGCATGCTCTTCTTTAAATTTTTCCAATCGATCTTGAGTCTCTCTTTAAACCCCAACTTCGCTAATTTCGCTTTATATTTTGCTCTATCCTCGTTTAATTTCCTGGCTTGCCCACGTAGGATGGAGTCATACATCTCTCTGTGCTTTTTCAGTTTCTCTTCGGTAGCCGCATCAATGCCAAAACTTTTTCCTTTTAAAAACTCAATCGCCTGTGAGGCAGAGTTCGCATGAGCTTTAGCCTGCTCATTCACCAAGAAGGATAGGTATTTCGGAATTTTAAGAAGTTCAGTTTTTAAATCTGAAAACACGCTGAGCCTTGAAGACGAATATTTTAGCATGCTTCTTTTATTCTCTGTTCGAGATCTTACGCTAGTAGTTGTGTTTAAATTATACTTTTTGAAAATTCCTTTCGTCTTGACCTTAATAGATAGGACCCTTATTGTCTTTCTATTCGCAGTTTTTATAGAGCACCCAAAACAGACAAACTTTTGAGGGAGGAGCTTCTAAAGATGTGACCTTGAACGACTGCTAAGCTTTATCTGAATGAATCCAACTCTACGAAAAAAAAAAGTTCATACATCAAGAGCATAAAAAGGGAAAAGAAGCCTAAGGACACGGTTAAAACGTTAACCCACCACCACCCATAAAGCATTCCTTGTGAGAGAATTTAAACCATCATCACCTATACTCCATTTTCCTTTTTTTTTTTTGTACACGACAGGTTTTCTACATGCGTTTATGGCAACTGTAGCATATTCGTACAAAAAGTTCGATATTATGCGCATAAAAAATGTGTTATATAGTTATATACAATCTCCTTAGGCTTTTACATAGTGCAGGATAAGGTGAAAAAAAAATGGAGACGTAATTCAAGATGGATAACCCCATCATCAACACAACAAGAGCAGGTATGGGATTGGCATAGGGGGGTACTGGATCCCATGGCATTGTTGATCCGGTACGCTACCTCTTGTTCAAGCCCACCCCAACGTGGCGAAACGGCGGCCAAGCCCTTTGAATCCCTTTCCCTTTCGCCCCCGTTCATAAGACAAACTGAGGGAGAAATCCCTTTAGCCTTTTTCCTCCCCCTCCGCGTCGGCCCCAAGAAGTTCCCCCAGCGTGTGATGGCAGGTCTCCCGGACTTTGCGCAGCAGCTTCGGGCGGAGCGGGACCCCTGGGGGGGG